CAGGCCATCAAAATTTAAAAGTAGCAGAAAAGGGATTTTTACTTAGTCTGACTAATGAATTCCATCTCTTTAACATTCTATTATGCAACTATAAACACCAAACACATTACTGTGTATTAATTCATATTTTTTAAACTAAAAGTGGTAGGATTCTTGGTGATATGCTTTCTGTTCTTTCTCCTACATATATTTTTTCCCAAATTATATAAAGTATCATATATTTTATAAAAAATGAAGATAATTAAATTAAATATTGCAATAGATATACAAAACCAGTTTTTTCTGAATGCCATTAATTGAACAAGCCTTTTTGTTTCTTAATTATTTTGCCTTTTCTGAGCACTACTATGCATCTAGCTCTACCACACAGCGGTAGAAAAATGTTAGTCACACACTTTTCATATATTACCTATAATGCCCAACAATCCTATCTTAAATGTTACACACACACACACACACACATACACACACACACACACACACTGCATGCTATTCACTAGCTCTGTGTGTTAGGAGGACCCAGATTTATATGCCTGTAAATTTCTACAGTATAAATATTACCAATTTCAACCTATGAACATGATGTCATTGAACACAAATTGCAAAGAGATATGCAGTAATATACTATTAAATAGTATTTCCACTATACGAGTCCAAAATATACAACATCCTTAAGAGCATAGATTGATTATAGCACTATACAGTAGCTTTGGTATTTACCACATTGCCATCAGTAGAATTTATCTAATATGCAAATATATATAATATTTAATAATGCCTCTATTTAACAGTTGAATAGTACAAATTCTGTAAATTTAACAGTCAACTTTTGCAAGCACATAGGAGACAGCTCCAACAGACCACTGGAGTATTTGTCATTCTAAATATACACAATGACAAGCACACTCTATTTTTTGCACTAGTAAAATAGGCATAGAAAAGTCATGGCTCTCAGCTTAAATATACATTAGAGAGTATCTCAGCAAAAATAATGGGAATAAATGTACTTTCATCATAAACATTCCATCTATTAGCTTACACATAAAACCATACTCATGTTACTTATCATGTCTAGTGTCTTTGCAGCCCTCATCTCTTTTCACTCTATACTGTCTATTCAGATAATTTTATTTATCCCAATATTTAACTCCTATTCATGGTGATGATATTTAACCTTATAACTTCCCTCAGTTCCAGATTTAAATATATAATCATCTACTGGATGAGGGTACTTTGTTTTTTGACAGAAACTCAAAACACAGCAGGTTAAAAACAAATCAGTTTTGTTTCCCTTTATAACCTGCGGTTGCCTTTTACATCATAATGAATGAACACAAGCACTGTTATTCTTGATTTCTTCCCTTCATGCTTCCCATTTAGTCACTAGGTCATGACAATTTTATGACTCAATAACATTTCAAATCATATATCCAGTGTCATTGACATAAAGCAGGTCATCATCCTCTCCTACAAAAGTCAGAAGACTGTCACATGGTTGGTTTGTTTTTACTTTAGTTGGGTTAATTTTACCCAAAATGCAGATCAGATTGCCTGGTTTCTACCTTGGCTCTTTATATCTTTGAAAGAATATTATTTTCTACATAACAAATATGTAATATCATAACAAAGACATAACAGATACATCATCTGTGTATTTATATCCAAGTATCTAGAAAACAAACAAGGAAACAAACAAAAGACGACCTGATCTACTACTAAGAACAAATTCTGCATTTTTCTTGTTGTTTCTTACAGAAAATTAGGCTGCAATCTCCAAAAGTTCAGGATGGTGTGATTTCAAACTTGCTCTCTTAGTTACGAGTATGGCAAACAGAAGAAAACCAATGTAGTTGAATACAAAGCACTAAATAAACAATAATATATAATTTTCTAACTTACAAATAAGTAAAATTTGTAAATAGAAGAAGAAGGGCATGCAAGTGTCATTTCAAAAGAATTTTCTAGAAACATTCTGGACACTAATGGTAAACAAATCAATGACCTAAGCACGTCATCTCTCTGAAGAAGGGAGACACATGCAGACATAACTGTATTCAAGGGATGATCAAGGGCCAAGAGTGGTAAACACTCAGCTGTCAAAGCACTGAGGGAAGAAAAAATAATTCTAACTGGGAGGGTAAAAACAAATTCACTCAAATGAGAAAGAAACAGGCATCTCATATGTAAAAGGGGCAGTGATGAAAAAGTATCTGATAGACTTGGTTGAAGGCCCTCAGCAGAAACTTAAGCTATATCTCTAATAGTGTATGTAACAGGTATATACCATAATAAATACAATACATTTAAATGGTGGGGGTACTATATATATAGTAAAACTATACATATATAATAGCTGTTTGTATGTACATCTACAATATTTGTATGTATGTTTATGTACCTATGTACATATATACAAATATACACACATAAACACACACACATAAATATGCACACATGCATTCACAGGAGTAAAAATTTGGCTTCATTAACCAATCTGCTGGAAGAAAAAATGAATAACAAATTTTGGGCACTATTTTATCATTTTGTATATGTGAGTTGCAAATTGCTTACTAGAAAATGTAAGAAATCACATTGGAAAAAACAAAGATCTCTCTAAAATCAGGATTGATAATTTAAAAAACCAAATGAAAGTAGATGAAGATGGCCAGATATTATGGAAAATTAGATGAATTATTATTTTGAGTACTCACATCACAATAACACTCTGAATTTAGCACTAAGAAAACTGAGGCACTGAAGGTCATGTGATAGGGTGTCTCACAACTCTCAACAGGCACTGCATATCATTGTGGCTCTTACTAGCCAACTGAAGAATTTGAAGCTATTCAAATGTCCTCATTTACAAGTTGTCTTTTTGGATACAGAAAATAATTATTCCATGACTGAAATGTTGGTTCTTATTATATACACCCATATCACATTATGTTATTCAAGATTCTTAAAATAATATCTATGAGGGGACTGCTTAGAAATTAAGTCCCAAGCATACATAAAATATAATTTTCACCACTATTAAAAAGATAAATTAGTAAAACATAAGTACCATACAAACTTTTAATGAACATCTTTGTAAAACAGAATGTTCTATAGTACACTATATTAGTTTTATTAAATTATATCTTAAACAACTGGCTTTTTCTGTTATTTTATTTTAAATGGGCAATCACCAAACTACATTCATCTAAACTATTTTCTTTTTTCCTGTGATAAGCCAAGAGAAATAATAAATATTTATATTATTTATTTCAAAGAGAAGGCAGACATTTATTCATAGAAAACCAGTTACAGAAACAACCAGTAATTTCCTCCACATATTCAAGGTCAAAAACAGTCTAGTTGTTTTTTTTCCCATTATTTAGATAAAATTAGTCTCTGTAATCAAACACATGTAAAAAGAAAGTCTAGTTTTAATAATGATTTTAAACAAAAATATTTTGAGTTGGAAACAAATATAATGTGTCCATAGAATTACAAAGCTGTTTTGCCCAAAATCTTAATGAGACAATCTTTCCTTCTCTGGAGACTTAACACTAAGTGGACTAAGGGTGTGGTTTTCTGATAGATGGGTAAGACTGTGCAGCTGTGCATTTCACCAATGACCAGTTTCAAAGAAATCACCAAAATTTTTCATGATGAACATTAAAAAAATACAGGATCATGTACTTATTTGGCCTGAGTTTTGTTAAGCAAACAAAACTTTGAATCTTTACTTTTTAGTGAAGAGGCAGAACAAAATTAATGAGAAAAATATTGACTTCAAAATTCTCTGAGATCCTTCAGTACATATAAAAATAAAGTTAAAAATATAATAAATTTAAAATACATTGTTTTGAATTTTTAAAAGCAAAACATTAATATTACATAATGATCTCATGCAGACTACATCTTTATCGTTCATAAGTTCACTAATTACAGATAAAAACAGTACATCAGAAGATTTATTTTGTTCCACTTATTTCTGACTCTCCATCCTGAAAATAGCATTTCCCTAATCTACCCACTTTAGTTTCAAAAATAGAAAATCTCAGTAGTAAGCAGTAAGGAAGCCAGATGTAACACATCATTAGGTACTTGCATTAGTGGTTCTTAAGTTTTCTGTGCTAGACCCTTGGGATTTGCATTTAGAAGTCAGGCTGGTAACCACAGCACTCATTTTAATAAGTGATGCTAAGACAAGTGATCAGAGAACTAGATCTTTCAAACATACTGCCCAAAACAAAACTCCTTTCTCCAAAGATTATTTCTGACTGTCAGGATATATTTCAATGTAGAACCTACAAATAAAAATTTTTGAAGATTGAAACAAAAGCACCATTAAATGTTCTTTGTTTTATCTAAAATAGGTTGTTGAAGGGAATTTGGAAGAAGATTTGCTCAAATGAATTGTCCTTAAACTTGAACGTACATTAAAATACCCTGGTACTTTGAAAACTTACTGATTAACTGGCGTCTAACCTGAAAAAAATCTAATTTAATAGGTCTGGGGAAAAAATCCCAGGGGTCAGCCTTTTTGAAATTTAAATACACTTAAGCACACTTTTAGAAATATGTACACTAAGATTCTAATGTGTAGCCAGTGTTGAGAGTTGCAGACTTTAAAAAAAAAAGTTATTTTGTAAAGATACTTTTACCCCACAAGAAAATATTCTCTATATCAAACCTGTGATGTTTGTTGCAATGTAATACAAGATATTTTCTTTTCACTTATTCCAACATTATTAGCTTTTGTTTTTTGTTAAACAATTAGATGATTCTACCTAAGAAACAGCTAGGTTCTCTACCAAAGGAAAGCTCCCTTCTAAACTTCTTCTAGTAACTATGGAGATTTTACAAACGGGGTTTCTACCTTCCATTTTCCTTCTAATCTTTCAATGGATTTGTTATCATACTTGGATCCACTCTGGTAATTATATACAGGGCTTTAAAGACAAACACATCACTTGCTGTTAATTTACAAAACACAAATAAAAGGTAGGTACCTTGCTTTTGGTGCTGGCATTTGGAAGTTTAGAGGCAATATTCCTGGGTGGGAGTAACATCTGAGTTGGATTTGATGTGATTAAACTCAAAGGTGGAGGAGGCTGATCACGGAAAACGGATGTCAAGCAGAGTTGCACAGTCTCTTTCATTGCTTTCATCTGTGACTCCTACAAAAGAGAGGCATTAATATATTTACATTTAACTATGGTCATCAATTATCTGCTTGCATCCTCCCTTTCCTCCTAGCCTACACTCACTCCCCACAAAAATACATATCAGTTTTCAAATGTAATTGCCTAATTTATAAATTTCATTGTGATATACTTTTTTATCTACACTCAGTCTGTTTCTAGGAGCTAATGCATTTCATGATATATTTTGAACACTAAAATACAAAGATATATCTGACTAGTTTCTTTTGAACTGACATGATGTCCATCATGATAGTCTACAGGAAAGGAAATACACTCTATGTTACTCCGATGTAGAAAATAATCCTTTTTTGAAACTTACCATCTTTTTTTTAAACTTTTAGTTTGGAGGCACATATGAAGGTTTGTTAAATAGGTAAATTTGTGTCATGAGAGTTTTTATACAGATTATTTCATCTCCTGGGTATTAAGTCCAGTACCCAGCAGTTATCCTTTCTACTCCTCTCCCTCCTCACATCCTCTCACCCTCCATCCTTAAGTAGACCCCAGTCTCTGTCCTTTCCTTCTTTGTGTTCCTAAGTTCTCATCATTCAGCTCCCATATGGGAGTAGTGGCTATTTGGTTTCTGTATCTGCATTAGCTTGCTAAGGATAATAGCCTCCGACTCCATCCATGTTCCTGCAGAAGACATAATCTCATTCTTTTTTATGGCTGCATAGTATTCCATGGTGCATATGTATCACATTTTCATTATCCAATTTGTCATTGAAGGGCATTTAGGTTGATTCTATGTCTTTGCTATTGTGAATAGTGCTGCAATAAACATTCACATGCTTGTGTCTTTATGGAAGGAAAATGTATATTCCTCTTGGTATGTACCCAATAATGGGATGACTGGTTCAAATGGTAGTTCTGCTTTTAGCTCTTTGAGGAATCGCCATACTGCTTTCTATAATGTTTGAACTAATTTACACTCTCACTAATTATATAAGTCTTCCCTTTCTCTACAATCTCACCACCATCTGTTATTTTTTAATTTTTTAATAATAGCATTCTCACTGCTGTGAGATGGTATCTCATTGTGGTTTTGATTTGCATTTCTCTAATAATTAGTGATATTGAGCTTTTTTTCTCATGCTTTTTGGCCCCATGTATGTCTTCTTTTGAAAAATGTCTGTTCATGTCATTTGCCTACTTTTTAATAGGTTGTTTTTCTCTTATAAATTTAAGTTCCTTATATATGCTGAATATTAGCCCTTTATCAGATGCATAATTTGCAAATATTTTTTCCCATTCTATAGGTTGTCTGTTTATTCTGTTGATGAAATTTCCCATCTTTCTTTCTGCACCAACTTTCTGTATTTAGAATTGTTGCCATAGCAATGTAAATTTTTGTGTTTCTCAGATAACCTATACCTCTATTTAATTTCCCCACATAATAGTAAAAACAAATTTGTCTCTGATTAAACTCTCATTTCCTCTGAGCCTTGTTAGGTAACAGTGTCATGGGCATTTGAACCAGAGCAACTCCATCTTGAATAGGGGCAGGGTAAAATAAGGCTTAGATCTAGTGCATTCACAGTTTAGGCATTCATAGTCACAGGGTGAGATAGGAGGTCAGCCCACGATATAGGTCACAAAGACCTTGCTGATAAAACAGGTTACAGTAAAGAACCCAAAACCAAATTGGCAGTGAGGGTGACGGCTGGTCATCCTCACTTCTCATTGTATACTAATCATAATACATTAGCATACTAAAAGACACTCCCACCAGTACCATGACATTTTACAAATGCCATGACAATGTCACAAAGTTACCCTATATGTCTAAAAATGGGAGGAACCCTCAGGTCCAAATTGCCCACCCCTTCCCCAGAAAATTCATGAATAATCCACTCATTATTTAGCATATAATCAAGAGATAACTATAAACATTGGCAATCAGCAGCCCTCAGAGCTGCTCTGCCTATGAAGTTGCCATTCATTTATTTCTTCACTTTCTTAATAAACTTGCTTTTACTTTACTCTATGGATTGGCTTGACATGCTTTCCTGTGTGAGGTCCAAGAACCCTCTCTTGGGTTCCGTATCACAACCTCTTTCCAGTGACAATCGGAGTTAATCTGTTATGAAACAGGCATTATTATTACTACTTTACTATGAAGAAGATTAAAATTTTCACACAGGTAGATTTCTGATGTAAACCACAAGGCAAACTGACTAATGTAGACAACCACCACCAACTCCCATCTAATCCCCAATTTTTACTTCTAGTAATATTTTTAAATATTGGTAAGACATATGTATGACACGTAATAATATACATTATTATACATAGTTATATGTCATGAACACACTATATATAGTGAAATATATATACATATATATATAGTGAAAGAGAGATCTCTAGTTACAAAAATAAAGAGACAAACTTTTTGGGAAAATTCGCAGGCTATTTCTATGGCAGCTAAGGGGTAATTTGGGGTATGGCATGGACTGATAAGCTAATATCTCATGTTATCCATTTAGAGACATGAGATATGGCCTTTGGGCCATGAGTGATGAAGAGAGAGATTAGATTCTGGGGCCCAGACCCATGGACAAGCTGGCACAAATGTGGAGTTCACACTTTGAGTATGCCCATGAATCAAGGAAGCAGCAAAGTCTGTTGTCTATGCTAAAAAAAACAGTGTTCTTCCAAGGAAACGACTGCATTTTTGTATATTATCACCAGGAATACACCTTTATATAGCACCCTCTACTCTTCTCTTTTTCTTTACTATAAAGTCCTCATATTCATCTTTCTGAGGGTTGAGTTGGCTCTTTCCCAAAATCTGCCACTGTGCTTTTGACTCGTACACGGTATATAGTAACATTAATCTTTAAGATGAGAATCTCTGCTGATAGAATAGCAGTTCAAGGAATCTTTCATTTTTTTCTCTCTTTTGGCTATGTCAAGGTATTTTTTAAAAGTAGTAATAGACTCAAGTGGGAATATATTATAAACAAGACTGATATACATTTTCTTATTAATCTTTTGGTCAATTTATCTAAGACAAAACTAGAATCTCATAAGGTCCAGGGTGGAGGAGTATTGTTAAGATGGCAGGAGGAGGTTTTGATGAATGATGACATCCGGTAATTGATTTTTTAAAATTCAAAATGGTCTATTTGATATCCTTGCTTTAGTCCTTGGATTATGACCCCCTCCCCTATTTCCCACATTTTTTAAAATTATTGTCTTGTTTTTTCAAATTATTACCATTTTTTATTTATACACATACACACACACACACACACACAAGTTGCCAGCTCCTAGCACAATTCCTGATACATTAGGTGAGACTCAACCAAAGGTTTTTTGAATAAAAGACTTCAAAACCTTAAATGAAAATATTATTTCTGTATGGTAGTGATGGAAATTTATGTTAATTCAAACAAAGAAGTAGTAGTTCAGATTTCTGCTTCTGTTGGTTCTTTGTTTCAATCTCCATTGATTCTTCTTTCTCACTACAGACCAGAAGGTCACAACATTTAATGCTGTGTCAGGAGAGAAATAATCTAGATGCCACTGGACAATTTAAACGTTTTCTTTTTTGCATATTAAAGTGAGACAATGGAAAATAGTTCATGTGACAGAGTCAGGCATGTCATAGCCAAGAACCAAAGAAATTGCGGCTTTGAAATGTGGACTTTCGAAGCTTCAATTATGCAGAGAGCAATGATGTTATTGTACTCACTGGATTAACATCTGAGCTCCACTTAACACAGTACATATCTAAAAGTTGGATTTATAACATGCTTAAGGTATATGTTAACAGACAAATCCTTAAAGTTGAAGATTAACCAAACTCAGATGCTGAAAATAAATCATGAACAGCTTCAAGTTAATGCTTTCAAATATCAAACTTTAATAAATGTTACTTAGGCAAGGCACATATTTCAATAGAACATTGAAGTGGATATGCATATATGTTAGATTTTTAATTACCTGAAGTTTGGTGCAATCATCTGCTTCCAGAGACCTCCTGATGATGCCAGGACCACACCAGATTAACACAATACAATCAGAAAATGTAACCTCAAAATCTACTACCATTGCCATAGTAGTGCCCCATCTTTCCTCTTATGTTTCAATCTATTCTTAACCTCTAACTTTCTGGCTTCCTTTCTCTTTTGAACCATAAGTTTGCAACATGTCCTCTTATCTTAGATTCTGGTTCCATTCCTTGATTGCACTGTAGATTTATTTTCCTGCCAGCAACCACAGATTGCTGTGAGGAACCCTGCCTTAATTTGGTCATCTTTCTTCCCAATGCCCATTATGTTCCTCTAACTTAATAGAACCTATTACTCATGCTACTCAGGTTTGACTCAGTTCCATGAGCAATACCCAGAGGATGATTTTGTATCACGATGTCATTACATTTTTATTTATACTGTTAGGTGTCATCTGTTTTAAACTGCAGGCTACTGTTTGCTTTGAAGTTTGCTAAAACAAGCTGTCACCTAATGAAATATGATGTAAACCATGTACAGCCAGTCTTGTTTTTGCTCTGTCTTTCCAGTCCCTGCAGGACATCACTTTTCTCACTTGTTTTAAAATGTGATAGTAAAATGCAAGTTCCTTAACTAAAATGCCCTCTTTATCACAATATCCTCAAGCATACCAAACTCATTTCTATATTACAGCCTTTACAAATGCTCCTTCCTCTGCCTGTAGAACCCTTCTTCCAGATACCCATATAGAAACTGCCACATATAAAATGTATGCCTTAGCTCACATACTATTTTCATGGAAACAGTCCCCTATGACTCTTTCTAAGATTGCTTCTTTCATAAAATTGTTATTTTATATTTTAAAAATTGTTATTTTATTTCCTAATTTTATATCTTATTTAGTCCTAACCATCGTTTCAAATTATCTTGCTGTTTATATGTTTGATGTTTACTTTTAACAAAATTGTTTGAAGGCTGATATCTTTTCTGTGGCATCATCAGCTTTTAATACAACACAGGCTTGTTATACAAAAAATTAAGCAAGTCCTCCAGAGAATATAGGTTAGTACTCTGTTAAACAAGAAAATAATGAAATATTTCTGATTTTATCTTGTATATTAGATAAGAAATTTATTCCATTTATTAAAAATACTACCACTTGCACTATAATAATATTAAAAGTTTATAAGAAATTTTTTCTTATATGTGATCTTAAGATGGTGGAAGATTTAGAAGATAGATTTTTTTGGTGTACATTAGTACTTTTCTCAGAAAAATGCATTTTTTCTAGAGACAACAAGACATACCTTGTAAAGACATCTATGCCCCTAATAGCTAATCTCTACACAAATGAAACATTACAAGATATTTTTCATGTTACCTTAATTCTTTAACATGAAGACACTACGTCCTCAACTTTGGACTTTGGAAAGACCATGAGAGGCTATGAGGCCAAACACTTTTTCCCTAACTTTATTTCTGCCATAAAATCACCTTAGAGAGCTCAGGAAAATCATTTAATATTTTGGGATCTCTGCTCCAGTGATATCCAGGTCTCTTGTATGGAAGATAACTAGAATGTTTATTCATTTAGGTCAGGTCTTTATTTTTAATTAAGACCTATTTATTATTTTCCTGCTCTGTGCCAGACACTGTGTGGTGGCAAAAGGATTTCTCATTCTGTTATTACTCAGTCATTGGTGTCTGTGTAGGTTAACTACCCTAGCAGCCATATCATCTGTAATACAGATGTAATAATGTATGCTTTCCCAGGTGAAATTTTATGAGGGACAGACACTATACAAATATTTTTGGTGTAAAAGTTTGAGAGAGTTTTCATAGCAAAAAGCTTATTTTATATTCCAGTAGCTGAGGCCAACTATATATATTTCATAAGATACTGCCAAATAAATAATTGAGTTTTTAGAAACTCAAGGTTGATTCTTCGCTCTTGTTATTATTATTGTTTATACTGGGATGCTAAACTGAGACTTCTTTCATTAAATATGTCATAAGAATCAAGTTGAACTGTTAAGATGTTTTCATATGTATGAGGTACTTAGGGTTATTTGAATTCCAGATATTATATTCTTGGGAACTAGATACCCGAGGAGTATTTTAAAAGCCTCATATAAAGATGATGGAGAGAGGTGAAAATCCATTTCATTAAGCTGTAGTTTTTATCCCTTTTGAAGTCAGCTAGCATTTCTATCTGACTTTATTGCTACAGTTTATAAGCCTCATATGTATCTTACATAAGATTTGTTAAAATCAGCCTCCAGTAATATGAAAGGCATTTATAGTTACCAAAAGGAGTGACAAGATCTGAAGGTTAAAGAGGGAATTGTTATCACAGATACGCAGTCTGTGATCTTATTCACTAACAATAATAATAACTACTAAGCTTACTGAATGTTTTCCAGGCATTATACCTAGTACTGTAATTTTTGGCTATATATAATTTTCCCATCACCCTTATAAATAAAGTTTATTGTTATTCCCCATGAGAAAAAAAGATTTTGAGAAACTTGAACACAGTCATTCAGTCAAGAGTCATGATTTGAAGCCAAGTAGACTGTCTCTGGAGGCTATTATTTAACCACTGGAACATACAGCCTCTCATCCTGAAATTTAGGGACATAATGACAGAGATTGGGTGATAGAACTGGCTAGATCATAGAATGGGTAAGAATATGTATAACTTACGGGAAGTAAAAGTTTCTCTTCCAAGTTTCCTCTCTTGTTAAAGAATAAATAATAAGGATGCTAATAAATCTCTGTTAAGCCCTATCCTATGTAGTTGTTAAACTTGCCATGCTTACAGGCACATGATTCATTCTATGTCCTTGTACTTTAACCAAAATATCTGTGCTGGACATGTTCATTGGTATATCCCAGCTTGCAGCCTATGCCCCTTACCTGTTTAAAAAAGTATTAAGTTATTAGCCAATCAGGTTTTAGTTTAGATGGTGAGATCTGACTCCAGCCAAGAATCAGACATAGCAGTAAGGATGACCCCAAATTCATAAGGGATAAATATGTCTGCTTTTCCTTTGTTCGTTGTACTCTTGTGGCAAGATGGCTAGCAAGTGTACTTTTCCTGCAGTCTAGGAAGTAAAAATTGCTTTGCTGAAAGATCCTTTGTCTCAGTGCCAACTTTTCTTTGCAGCACCAAACATCTGTTTCTAACATAACTAAAGATGGAGGAACAACTCTACACTAACCCTTTGACTCAGGTCAAATTTCAGTTGAAAAATAAAGTGTTTTATGACTATACCATGCCCTATGACCCACGGGTACTTGCAAAATACATATTTATTCTCTGTGCTTCTGCTGCCTTATGTCTCAGCATACAATTATTTCCTAATTGTTAGTGCTAAACATAATTGTGAGAGATATGGGACCCAAGACCCTGTCTCATATATTTTCTGTTTCCCATTGTACCTAGAATAGGATGGCCACACACACACACACACACAAAAAATGGCATTTCAAAGCTCTTTAGTCATTGAATCACTAAAAAGATTATATGATGTCAAATTGGGAGGACATTTAATATAAGGAATAATATTCCAAGAGTCAGAGAGGGTAAAAACTCAGAGAAGAATAGGCTGTTTCAGAATCATGGGAATCCAATGATTTTCTTGGACTTAGATCGTATTGCAGCAATTGTGCAGGAATAGCAGAGAAAGGACTAAAACAAAGGTGGTCTACTTGAGCTTTAAGATTATAAATGCCTCTGATTCCACCAATCTTACAATGAGCCATATACATTTTTAAAAAGTAATATGTAGTGTAAGTTGGATGTGATTGGAGATTAGCTTAAATTGGTATAAATTTGTTTTATAGAAATTAAAAAAAAATCTTATGATGCTTGGCTCTTAATAAAACAAATTATACTTGACTTAACACAAAATAGGGAGCAAGCTCTCCTCTATTTTTTACTAAAACAACTGTGGTACAAACTGATGGTTAGAAGGTAACCTCCTCTCCTTCAAAATTGCCAAATGTAACAATACAATGTACTATAGCAAAATAAAAGTATTATTGCAAAATAAGTCTATAACAACAATCATCTTACTTGCTTAATTTCCTCAATTAAATGGTTGCTAAGCTGTGACCACAAAAATAAAAAGCCCTTGACATCAGAGTATTTTCTTTAATTAAAAAATATTATGTTAAAAAATAGAAGCAGACAGCAACATAACAAGTATCAAGTAAATATCTGAATTGAATGTTAAAGGCAAAATTTTGATAATAAAAATATATGTATAATTGTTATATATATCATTTTCTATGTTATAACATATATATAAACATATGTGCATATGTGCAACATATTTATATTTGTCACATATATAATGTTTGTATACATGTATATATAATGCATGTATATAATATATAAAATATACATATATGTTGTACATGAATTAAAGATAGTTGGTATCTGTACAATTATTGGAGGATAAAATGTTTAGGGCACAGTAGAGGTATACTTTGTAAACATCCCTAGTGTTATTTTACTGTCTTTCCCCAAAGGCAATTGTATCCATGAATTTTATGTGACTATGTCTTTCTATATATACATCAAATTTCTACGTACTTTTTTTTTTACATTCAACATAATGTTTAAAAATGTGTTTTGTGTATTTGAACAATTGTTGAATATTATACATATAAGTCTGCCTTTCTCACTGAACATTATATGTTGTAGGTATAACAATATTGATAAAATACATTTATGTATATTTGTTATCTTTTAATTACTATTTTCAAATTTGAGTATAGAAAATATATAAAAATCGATGTATTAATTATCTTATAGTAAACAGTTAGATTACTTCCATTTATTATTAATATAAACATTGCTATATTCAGCGTTATTATTGTGCATGTTTCCAAGTGAATATAGATAAATATAAACTGTAAGCTACACACATTCAAAAACTGGTTAATAACAATTTGACACCAATAATTATTTACATTTGCTTCATAACTCATTCACCCAGAGTTAATATATAGTGCCTTAGTTGGCGCTATGTTTATTTGTGGTATTATGGATTAAATATACCAGTGAGGTGAAAAATGGAGCCATGAACTCACAAAGACTGAACCTTCAGTCAATTTACTATAGCAGCAAAAACAAAGAAAGAATTGGATTCCAAAGAAGATATCAAATATTCCTGAATTCTGTAACTGTCTTATAAATACAGCATTTGGAAATACATTAATAAATCAAGGAAAGCAATGAGTATACTTTAAATTTTTTTTTTTTTTTTGCTAAAACTGAAGTTGTAATGGTTCATGGATGTAGACTTACCCTGTCAAGAGCTGCTTTCTCCAGTTCATTTTTGGCTACAGCTAATTTTTGTTCCAGATCAGTAAGCTGCTGTGCCTGTAAAATAAGAGATAAATCTTTTAGATAAATTCTATAATTTCCTTCTGTACTTTAGGCATCGGTCATATATTGCCCAAGAATTGTAAAAAGAGAGAAAAGGAAAAACAGTGTCCTATAAGATTCACTTAGAATTCAGGTTAATTTAAAAATACCATGTATCAAAAAAATTACTATATGTCATGATAATTTGATGTGTAAAATACTTAATATGCAGAAAATGGTAGTTCTGGATGAATATGCACTAAATGTTTCACTAGACCAAAACATCTAGTTTCAAGGACCCAACTGAAGTCCTTACAAATACCTGTGGTTTAAATCCCTAACTTACATTTCTAGTTGGTATAGAGTGAATTTTATCCCCCTCTAAAATTTATATGTTGAAGCCTTAACTCCTCATTGCTGCTGTTATTTGGAGACAAAGCACTCTGGGGTAATTAAAATTAAATGAAGCCGCAAGAGTGAGGCCCTAATTCCATAGGACACATGTTCATGTAAGGAGAGGAAAAAAACAACGGAGATCTTTCTTTGTGCTCACAGGTGGAGAGGCCAAATGAGGACACACAGAGAAGGCACAGTCTACAAGCCAGGAAGAGCCTTTGCCAGAAACTAAATATATGGACACCTCACTCTGGGACTTTCAGCAGCCAGAACTGAGAGATAACAGATTTTTATTGTTTAAGACACCCAGTCTATGGTATTTTGTTATGGAAGTCCAAGGAGACAAATGTACTAGTATGTACTCTATTTATATTATTGTGTTTCAGTGACATATGCTTCTCTATCCTACCATATCTCTATACCATTACAAGTGTCATTATTCTGCTATTCAAAGAAAAAAGCAGTACCCTCATGTTTGGAAGTTATATATTCATAACCTGCCTCTACCACTTCCCAGTTATGTGATCTTGGGCAAAGCCCTTGACTTTTCTAAACTAGAAATGTCAATACTTATTCTATATCATATTAGCTGGGCTCAAATGAGGAATATGAAGAATTGAAAGTTCCGTTATCTGCATACATATAGCATTTGCACCACCTTTTTTTATCCCATTATTGTTCCTTTTATCCATTTATCTTTTGATTAGTCTCTGTGGTCTCCACTATTCCAGGCACTGTGTTGGGCCATAAGAATTGCCGAGATTACTTAAGACAATAACCACAACCGCAGCAACAACCAATATTTTCTCTAAATAACCTACAAACTCATATTCTTAAATTGTTTACATCTTCCAGTTGATTGTGATATCTGCTGAGAGCAAGAATAATAAAATGCATTTAATTTTCTTTATGAAAGCTGCCATTTTATTAGGTATCAAAATTCATTCAATAATTTTATTATTCAGCAAATATTATTCATCTTGTAATATAAATTAAAAAGCATTCTCTGAACTAATTGTAGAATGATAAAGAAAAAGAAATCCTCGAGACCATCCTGTCCCACATGGTGAAATACAAAATACAAAAAATACAAAAATTTTTTCCACTAAAAATACAAAAAAATTAGCCAGACATGGTGGCATGTGCCTGTGGTCCCAGCTACTTGGGAGGCTGAGGCGGAAGAATTGCTTGAACCCAGAAGGCAGAGGTTGCAGTGAGCCAAGATTGAGCTACTGTACTCCAGCCTGGTGACAGAGCAAGACTCTATCTCAAAAAAAAAAAAAAAAAAAGAAAGAAAGAAAAAGGAAAAAGAAATTCTTGTCTTTAAAAAGAGACAGAAAATACATATATAAAATCAGATGGTGACAGTTGCTATCAAGAAAATAAAGCTAGCAAAAAGAAAAGAGCATGTGAGAGGTTATATTAATCAACATATTAATCTTGTAAACATTTACAATAAACCCAGCTTATAGTCAAACTGCTAGTGGATAAGCAAGCTGGTAGATCTCTAGAGTCATATGTCAACCCAGCCAAGATCTCTGACCCCCAGGCAACTCACATATGCACATTTTCCTTATTTATTCATTGATTTAAAGATAATGTGTTTTGCCATAACAAATAATACACTACATTATTTTCTCCGTCTCAATCTTTCTTTCCTACCACTTGCTTCTTGCTCAATATGCTCTGAGTATATTGGCCTTATTTTACCTCAAAAGTGCTAAGTTTATTCTTATTGCAAGGTCTTAAAAATTCCAAGCATGATTTTCTTCTTCTCATCATTTAGATATCTGCTAAAATTTATTTAATCAGAACAGTATTCCTGACAACTCATATCTATATGGGTTAATTAGCTTTTCCTGCAAAACAGAAACCCAAACTCAGAGACTTAAAGAAACAAGAATTTATAAATTATATTTAAATCACATGTATTTCATTTTATTGGTAGAAACATTATCTGTCATAAATACATAGAACTACTTACAAAAAAATTCCCTTTTTATGTGTGTAAGAAAATGCTAGTTTCAGTATTATGATGACAGTATCAAATTCACATATAACAATATTAATCTTAAATGTAAATAGGCTAAATTCCCCAATTAAAAGACATAGAAGAACGAGGTTAATAAAGAGTCAAGAATCATTCGTATGCTGTCTTCAAGAGACCTATCTCAGGTGCAATGACACATATAGGTTCAAAATAAAGGGATGGGGGAAAATTTACCAAGCAAATGAAAAACACAAATAATTCAGCATCCCTTCATGTTAAAAACTCTCAATAACTAGGTATTGAAGGAACATACTTAAAAATAATGATAACATTGCTGTCTTTCACTTTTGAGAGACAACAAAGATGATAAGAGATGAACTTTGGAGCTCACTCTGGAATTTGAGTACTAGTTTTTACTCCTTACTAATTTTCCATACTTAAATATTTAATCTCCCCATGCTTCAGTTTCCTCTTTTTTAAAGATGAATAATATCACTTAATTTATAGGCTTGTTAGGAGAATTAAATTAGTCAATATCTGTAAAATACTTATAGTAGTACCACTTCAATAGTAATATATGATTATATGATAAGTAATGTAGTTTATACTACCTGCCATAAATTCAGCATAAAAGCAATTGGTATAACAATTCAGGAAGTTTGTATTAGGGCAGGAAAAATAAATTCCAACAAAAATAGCAAATTTGCCTTTGAAAGTTGTATTGCATTTCATGCCCAGATTTTTTTGGTTCATTTTTGTCTTTTTTTTTATAAGGAGTCTCACTATGTCACCTAGGCTGTAGTGCAGTGGCATGATCTTGGCTCACTGCAACCTCCACTTCCTGAGTTCAAGTGATTCTCATGCCTTAGCCTCCTTAGTAGTTGGCATTACAAGTGCATGCCACCATGCCCAGCTAATTTTTGTATTGTTTTAGTAAAACGGGATCTTGCCATGTTGGCCAGGCTGGTCTTGGTTTTCTGACCTCAGTTGATCTGCCTGCCTTGGTCTCTCAAAGTGCTGGGATTACAAGGATGAGCCGCTGCACCTGGCCATGCCCAGGGATTTAATGATTTACCTTTTCTATGAACTCATTAAACCTGGTAAAACATCTAGCCAAGAGATCTTGGGAAACTAGAGTTGACAAAAAGAGTAAGAAAAAGTAATAAAAGGACTTGCAGATATCATCCGATATTGTAATACTTTGGTACCAGTTTGAAAAGCATTAGATATTGGATTAAATCATACAGAGTGGCCATAATTTTTTTCATGATAACATTTTTTTTTTTAATTTCAGCTCTTATTTTAGACACAAGGAGTATATGCACAGAAGTGCTACATGGAAATATTGCATGATGCTGAGGTTTGGGATATAGATCCCATTATGCTAGTAGTGACTGCAGTACCCAGTAGGTAGTTTGTTAACCAAACCTCCTCCCTCCACTCTCTAAAGTGGTGGTCCCAACCCCTATGCCACAGACAGGTACTGCTCTGTGGTCTGTTAGGAACCGGGCAGCACAGCAAGAGGAAAGCAGCTGTCAAGTGAGCAAAGCTGAGCTCCACCTCCTGTCAGGTCAGCAGCAGCATTAGATTTTCTTAGGGTCATGAACTCTATTGTGAACTGTGCATGCAAGGGATCTAGGTTGCATGCTCTTTATGATAATCCAATGATGAATGTAATGCACTTGAATTATCATGAAACCACTTCAGACCCCACCTCATGTACATGGAAAAATAGTCTTCCATGAAACTGGTTGCTGGTGCCACAAAGTTTGAGGATAACTGCTCTAGTAGATAACAGTGTCCATTGTTCCCGTATTTATGTCTACATGCGCTCCATGCTTATCTCCTACTTAAAAGTGAGAACCTGTAGCGTTTAGTTTTCTGTTCCTGTATTAATGTGCTTAGGATTATTGCCTACATCTTCATCCATGTTGCTGCAAAGGACATAATTTCATTCTTTTCATGGCTGCATAGTATTCCAGGGCATATATGTACCACATTCTTAATGTAAATTCTTAATATAATACTTTATTAACATTTATGAAAATATAGAACTTCACCTTTTTATAGACCATTAAGAGCTGGAGCTTGGTTTTGTTTCTGGCTCAGTTACTCTACGTGTAGTGTTCCAAGGGGGTGTTTCTTGTTATTTTTTTCTCAAGAATGGACCTTAAATAGAGCTAGATTATGAAGGATAGCACCAGTGGTGTGTTTGAAAAATATCCTGTTGTCTTTATTTTAATTTCTCTGATAAATTTCATTAAGTGTTTTTTTTTTTTTTTTTGAGACGGAGTTTTGCTCTTGTTACCCAGGCTGGAGTGCAATGACGCAATCTCGGCTAACCGCAACCTCTGCCTCCTGGGTTCAGGCAATTCTCCTGCCTCAGCCTCCTGAGTAGCTGGGACCACAGGCATGCGCCACTATGCCCAGCTAATTTTTTGTATTTTTAGGAGAGACGGGGTTTCACCATGTTGACCAGGATGGTCTCAATCTGTTGACCTCGTGATCCACCCACCTTGGCCTCCCAAAGTGCTGGGATTACAGGCTTGAGCCACCGCGCCTGGCCAAATTTCACTAAGTTTTATATAACATAAAAATATACCTTACTTTAAACAGGATTTGAGACAAT